CTAATTTTTTGTATTTTTAGTAGAGACGGGGTTTCACCATGTTGGCCAGGATGGTCTCGATCTCTTGACCTCGTGATCCACCCGCCTCGGCCTCCCAAAGTGCTGGGAATACAGGCTTGAGCCACCGCGCCTGGCCTGGAACACCATTCTTCAGAGCACAAGTCTAGCCCTCAGAAAGACAGTTCTCCTCCTTGCATATTTCCTACTGAAACACAATGCTGTCTGTGATTGTTTTTGTTTTGTTTTGTTTTGTTTTGTTTTTTTGTTTCTTGAGACAGCATCTCACTGTGTCACACAGGCTGGAGTGCAGCGGCGTGAGCTTGACTGACTGCAAACTCTGGCTCCCAAGTTCAAGCGATTCTCCTGCCTTAGCCTCCCAAGCAGCTGGGATTTACAGGTGTGCACCACTACGCCAGGCTAATTTTTTGTATTTTTAGTAGAGATGGGGTTTTGACAAGCTGTTCAGGCTGGTCTTAAACTCCTGGGCTCAAGTGATCCACCCACCTTGGTCTCCCAAAGTGCGAGGATGACATGTGTGAGCTACCACACCAGTACTGCCTGTGCTTCTCCATAGCTGTGAACATGAAAAAGAACCTCTATTGGGAGGCTGAGGCAGGTGGATTGTTTGAGGCCAGGAGTTTAAGACCAGCCTGGCCAACAAGGCAAAACACCATCTCTACTAAAAATACAAAAATTAGCAGGGCTTGGTGGCTCATGCCTGTAATCCTAGCTACTTGGGAGGCTGAGCACGAGACTCACTTAAACCTGGGAGGCAGAGATTGCAGTGAGCTGAGGTCACGCCACTGCACTCCATCCTGGGTGACAGAGTGAGACCTTGTCTCAAAAAAAAAAAAAAAGTATCTCTAAATACAGGATTATGATTTCTGCCTGAGCATGGTGTTAACTACCTTGTATTTGGAAAGATTTCAGATTCATTCCATCTCCTTAGTTTTCTTTTAAGGTGACCTATCTGTAATAAAAATATAGCTTAGTGGTAAAATTAATGTAACTTATACATGGTCTAAAATGTTTCTGCAAATTAGAGTTTGTCACTTATTCCATTTGTGCCTAAGAGAAAAATAGGCTCAGTCAGAAAAGGACTCCCTGGCTGGGCATGGTGGCTCATGCCTATAGTTCCAGCACTTTGGGAGACCAAGGCAGGCGGATCACGAGGTCAGGAGATCAAGACCAGCCTGGCCAACATGGTGAAACCTCGTCTCTACTAAAAATACAAAAATCAGCTGGGTGTGGTGGTGGACTCCTGTAATCCCAGCTACTTGGGAGGCTGAAGCACAAGAATCACTTGAACCCAGGAGACAGAGGTTGCAGTGAGCCTAGATCTCACCACTGCACTTGAGCGTGGCAACAAAGCGAGACTCTGTTTAAAAAAAAATAAAAAGACAGAAAGAAAGAAAAGGAATCCCTTAGAGTGGGAAAGGAAAATCAAAATATTGATTTGTTGCCTATATATAGAAATTAAGTATTTCTTGAAAGCTCTTCTTTGTTTTGCTGTTATGTTAGCCTTTATTCTCTTCCTTTGGGTAGAGAAACAAAGTACAAATTTGAAGGGTTTTTTTTTTTATTTCGTCTCTTTATTCTGTTAGTGAAAATAACCATATGTGCTAACCATTTCTGTGAAGAATGTTTTCCTGGTTATCGTTATATCTAACTATAACCTCCCCCATAGTTATAAAGAGTAACCTGAAATGCCACTATTGTGGAAATAGGAGAATTGTAATTGTGAAAAAATAATTTCAAGGAAATCTTACAAGTATTACATTAAAAAGATACTATGACTGCCTCCTGCTATTTACCATCTAATAACCCTGCCATGTGGTTTGCAGAAAGAGATGGATATTATAGTAGTCTCAGAAGAAATATGTTATGTGGGATTTTTTGTTTTTCATTACTAGATTTCATGGATGAGGGGATATGGTTGACCTTTTATTCTTTAATGGAGCCATTTTTTGTTAATGACTCACCTGTATGTTGTGAGATTCTGAATTCCTTATCTGCTATTCTTATACCTGTCTCAGGCCAAATCTATGCTGTGGTTCTTATGAGACTTGTATGAAGATGCCCTGATTTGTACAGATTGATCAGGGGAATACTACTGCCACGTAATCTGTATAGTTCCAGATAATTTACCATGAACATTGACAGAATGACAGGTTTTTGTATTTGCTTTTTCTCCTTTTAAGAGCACATTCTTCTGTAAGGAGAAGGGCAGCATTCTGGTTAAAATCTGTGGAAAGCTAATTTACTACACTTATAAAATAGTGTTACTTTTGTGAAAATTTTGAATTAGCTTTCATATGAAGTGCCTTAAGTAGACTCTTCATTTACTTTTCTAGTAAGGGTTTAAATATCATTTGTTATGCATTTTTAAGATACTATTCAGAATGACACATTATAGTAGTAAAGATAACCAAATGTCTGGCCGTTTGCTTTTTGACCGTATCAATAAACTTCTACAATCTAAATTCTGAGTATTTGATTACCGTCTAAAGAGGAGTGATTTTTAAACACTAAACTAGAATTTTTAAATTAAGATATTTCATTTCAAAATTATAATTTTGAAAAGTTATAAAAAAAGTTATAATTAAATTCATTTAAATTTCATATTGTCCTAAGGACAGTTTGATGGGACAGTTTCTTTAAGTATTTCTGGATTGGGATATATTCTTCTAGGGATCTGTCCCTCATTAATGTTGTTACCCATTAGGTTAGTCAAAACAACCAACATTAGTAGATAAATAACTGTTTGCAATAATCGATCTACCTTTCATCCCAGACAGTGAACATTCCTTGACTAGATAATTTCCTTTTGGTAATAAAAACTTGGTTTGAAATTTACCCTGGCAGATTATCAGGTTATATGAAACTAGACAGCAGCTCATTTGCAAACATGGAGTGGAAACACTGAACAGGAAGTAAAGAGATCTGGCTTTTAGCCCTTGCTCTGTTTCTGTCTAGCTATATGACCAGAGGTGTCACCTGAACCTCTTTGAACTTACTTCTTTATACTAAGTAGAGTGTATTAGACTAAATTACCTTAGTAGTACTTCCTACTCTATTGTTCTATTATGCAAAATATTAAAGATGCATTTAAATTTGAATAAATAATATTTTATATCCACATTTGGTGCTGAATTAAAATTATTTGAAATGCAGGATGTTCTGCAGTCAGATTTCTGAAGCTAGGAAATGCTGGTGGAGGCCGTTATCACTAGAAATTATTTAATACGCATTGAAATATTTTTTAGAAAGGATGCACTTGGAAGTTGTATTAGACCGTTCTTGCATTGCTGTAAAGAAATACCTGAGATTGGGTAATTTTTAAAGAAAAGAGGTTTAATTGGCTTGAAGTTCTGCAGGTGTACAGGAAGCATTATGCTGGCATCTGCTCAACTTTTGGGGAGGCCTCAGGAAACTTATGGTGGAAGGCAAATGGGGAGCCAACACATCACATGGCCAGAGCAGGAGCAAAAAGGCGGGGAGAGTTACCACACACTTTCCAATGACCAGATCTTTCGAGAACTCACTCAAGAACAGTACTTAAGGGATGGTATTAAATCATTCATGAGAAACCTACCCCCATCCAGCCATTTCCCACCAGGCCCCATTTCCCACCAGGCCCCACCTCCAACATCGGGAATTATAATTGAATGTGAGATTTGGGTAGGGATGAAGATCCAAACCATACTGGAACTAATACATTAATATGATTTTTTTTTTTTTTTTAGACGGAGTCTCACTCTGTCACCCAGGCTGTGGTGCAGTGGGGCAATCTCGGCTCACTGCAGCCTCCGCCTCCCAAGTTCAAGTGATTCTTATGTCTCAGCCTCCCAAGTAGCTGGGACTACAGGCAAGCACCACCCACTCCTGGCTAATTTTTGTATTTTTAGTAGAGACAGGGTTTCACCATGTTGATAAGCCTGGTCTCAAACTTTTGACCTCATGTGATCCACCAATCTCAGTCTCCTAAAGTGCTAGGATTACCTGCATGAGCTACCGCACCCAGCCTCGAGGTCTAGATTTACTTGGGTTCTGCCCAATTCTGAGCGGGAATGAGATCAGCAACTGTAATAGTATGCTGTTGGAACAGAAAGTCAAAGCCAAAAGGACCTTAGATACCGTTTAAATCAGCCCCTTCATTTTGACTACTGAAGAAACCTGCCATAGAGAAGTGAAGCAATTTACTGAAGTTTATTCCAGGGAAATGCCTACAGGTTTCCTATTTAGCTGCAAATTCCCTATGGATTACATTGCAAGTGTAGATGCAAATTACTCCATGGACACTTGGAAACCATACTGTAGTTCAACCCACAGTCCATGGGCTGCATGTGACCCAGGATGGCTTTGAATGCAGCCCAACACAAATTCATAAACTTAATTAAAACATTATGAGATTTTTTTGTGATTTTTTTTTTTTTTTAGCTCATCAGCTATCATTAGTGTTAGGGTACTTTATGGGTGGCCCAAGGC